TAGTAAAATCTTGGACATAACTGAGCAGAAGAATTAGTCAGGCCACAAATTCACACTTGGACATGCTAGGGGTCTTTAGGGTACAGCTGTAATAGCAAAAACAATAGTTTCTGATGTTACAAATATATATTATTGTATATAGATTTTGACAAAAGAACTATAAAATCCCCATACAACATGGCCATCCTATACATCAAAGCGAACAGGGGAGGGATGTACACTGCTCAAAAAAATTAAAGGAACACTTTTTAATCAGCGTATGCCATCAAATCAATTGAACTCCTGGGATATTGATCTGGTCAGTTAAGTAGTAGAGGGGGTTGTTAATCAGTTTCAGCTGCTTTGGTGTTAATGAAATTAACAACAGGTGCACTAGAAGGGCAACAATGAGACAACCCCCAAACCAGGAATGATTTACAGATGGAGGCCACTGACATTTTTTCCCTACTCATCTTTTCTGACTGTTTTTCACTAGTTTTGTATTTGGCTAGGGTCAGAGTCACTACTGGTAGCATGAGGTGATACATGGACCCTGCAGAGGTTGCACAGGCAGTCCATCTCCTCCAGGATGGCACATTAATACGTGCCATTGCCAAAAGGTTTGCTGTGTCTCCTAGCACAGTCTCAAGAGCATGGAGAAGATTCCAGAAGACAGGCAATTACTCTAGGAGAGCTGGACAGAGCCGTAGAAGGTCCTTAACCTATCAGCAGGACCTATATCTGTTCTTTTGTGCAAGGAGGAACAGGATGAGCAGGGACTGATGTCAATGTATCACATATACCAGCCTTTCTTAACCAGGGTGCCCAGGCACCCTGGGGTGCCTTGAGATTTCTTAAGGGGTGCCTTGGCAAAATATCTAAAAATTGCTCAAAATTTGTATACAAGCCAGCGGGTGGAACAAGTCTACCTTTTAGTTACACAAAGCCAGGGGTTTTCATTGTGTCCCATTACGACCTTCTAGCCAACCAATGAGAACCAATGACATCATTAGTTGATGAGGATTTCAGCTGCCTGCGCAGGATCCTAGTTTGACCCTCCCCTGTCCCTCTCCATCAGTGCTGGGGTCACATTAGCTGAGTGATGTAGAAAAACTGAGGGAGAAGAAAACATAGGAATACTAGTCAGTACCAGTGAGTGAAAGTGTATTTGCTTTGGAAGAATAAATCACTTCTAACATTGGGTGTCCTATATGGTGGATGTTGCTGCATTATATAAAAGTATTAGAATGTTTTTTTCCATTTTAGAATGGGGTGCCCTTTTAAAATTATGGACAGTCTAGAAGTACCCCATAGAATGGGGTGCCTCAAGACTGTCCATAAATTGAAAGGGTGCCTTGATTGAGAAAGGTTAAGAACCACTGACATATGCTTTATATATATATATATATATATATATATATATATATATATATATATATATATAAAAGCACTGTGTAAATTGATGGCGCTATAACCTGTAATAAATTAATGCAATTCTTTCACAAGCAGACACAATACTTACTTTATCTTGCTACTTTTAATGGCTTGGATGGCCAAAACTGGCTATAGATTGTGAACAACAGTCTCTTCAATGAACACATAAATGTACATGTTTATGTAAACTATAAACATAACAAGAGAATCTCCTCTTCCACTAGGACAACGGACTATTAAAAAAACTCTTATCTGGGAGATTTCCACTTATTAGTGCTTCCTCATGTTCTTCGTGTTCTGCTGGGGCTCTTGGTTTTCCACAAGCTGTACTAAACCCAAAAACAAAAATATAATATATTGCAGCTTACCAGTCCTTAGATGTGATGGCTGCTTTATTTTTTTATTTTTTTAACCTTTTTTTCCCCTTTATTTTGACTTGTGATCTACCCAGTAACACAATTTGGGGTTTATTTACTAATGCTGGTTCACTCAGAATGTAGTCAACTGTGCATGGTAGTCAGCTTCCAATCAGCTTCTAACCTCAGCTTGTTCAATTACCTTTAACAATAAAATCTGTAAGCTGATTGGTTTCTCTGCAGAAGTGCACCAGATTCTGAGTGAACCAGCTTTAGTAAATAAACCCCTTCCCATCTTATGGTGTTTCCATTTTAGATGGAGGCACAACAGAAACAGCAGAATTGTCAATCTCGAGAGAGTGTAGTATTAGATGTCCTGGCAGATTTACCAATACTGTTTAAGGAGTTCCAGCGGCAATGTAACACCTTCCCGCCTGGCCTATAGCAGATTGACAGCCAGGCGGGACACTCCTCCCTGTGACTGGACGTCATATGACGTTCTGTCAAAAGGAGCCGCTCACGTCCTTGTAGTGATGACATATCACTACACTGGCCTGTTTCCAGTGTCATGTGACTGCTGTGACCAATCACAGCAGATCACGCGTCAATTGTATACAATGGATGGCTTCATGTCATGCCATTCATTGTTTACAATGGTGTTGTTAGCTGTAATTGGCCAAAGCAGTCACATGGTACAGACAGGGCCAATCACAGCCCATATGTACCATGTGATGAGCTTTGCCCAATCATAGGTAATCACAACAAAAGACTGAATGGATCAGTTTCATTTAGTAATAATGATTGCAAATATCAATGAAATACATTGGCATTAGCAATCAAATTCTTGAAAAAAAAATCCTGATCACTTCCCCAGAGTAGTTCAATGTTACTATGGTAGCATTGTATTGCTTTGAGCACAGTGTGCTGAAACAAAAAAATAGTAAAAAAAAAAGGGAAAAATAATGTAATAAAAAATTAAAAAATAATAGAAAAATTAGAAAAAATAAAAATGTAAATTATTTAATTAATTATTTAATTATTATTATTTAATTTTTTTTACATACTGTCACCAGTCAGTGTCCCTGATCACCGCCACTCCAGTTATATAAGAACACTGTACTGGACTGGTTACAATATGTAAAAAAAAAAAAATTGTGATATTGTTTTGTTTATTTTACATTTTCTACATTTTCCCAAAAATTGTATCAAAAAAATTACAACCTCCAAAAAACTCACCATGCCTCTTAGTAAATACCTTGGACTATCTATTTTTACTATCCTAGCATTTTCGGCCTCAAGAAATGAGATGGGCTATCAATACATCAGGATTGATCGATTGTCAGATATACAGTATATACCATGGTTTGTGGACTCTTTAACTTTCATACAGATGAAATAATATACACTAATTTGGGGTATTTTCACCAAAGAAATGTAGCAGAATACATTATGACCTAAATTTATGAAGAAATGTTATTTATTTGCAAAATTTTATAACAGAAACAAAGAAAAATGAGTTTTTTTTTTTCAAATTTTTAGATTTTATATTGTTTATTTAGAAAAAAATAAAAAAACTCAGTGATGATTAAATACCAATAAAAGAAAGCTCTATTTGAGTGAAAGAAAAAAGGATACAAATGTTTTATGGGTACAGTGTTGCATGACCACACAATTGTCATTCAAAGTGCAACAACATTGAAAGCTGAAAATTGGCCTGGGCAGGAAGGGGGTAAAAGTGCCTGGTATTGAAGTGGTTAAATAGTTTGTCTCAACACACAGGTCTGCCCCACTTATAGGAGGTCAGTAAGGGATATCTAATGTTTTTGGAAATCTATCCGAAACTTAAAAACATGAAGTTTAAGCTTTGATATAAACAATCATTCTTTAACCCCTTCCTGTCAGCCTCTCTGTGGGTGGGCTTTAAAGCTAAGAGGCTTTATATATGCATCCCAAATGTAAACATTTCTGTGCTGAGAGCCCACACTCCCCAACACAGTTACCAGCAGATACCGGAAAGCTCCCGATACATACTTGACTGTCAATCACAGCGTTCACATGATTGGATTGCCCGCCTCCACTTCCCGGTATTCAGAACATCTTAAAGGGTTCGGAGGCGGTGACAAGAAGGGGTTAACTCATATATCATTCACCAAGTCTGTAGACTATTATGCAGCACTTGAATCCAAGTATTTTTATGGGGAATGGGAATTTTTTAAACAACCTTTTTTTTAAGAAAAAAAAAAACTTTCAATCTTGGGGTCTTGTGAGATCAGAATTGGAAGAAGTGAGATAATATACGAGGTGTGTCTAAAAAGGTTTGGTGAATGCTTTGATATCTCAATGGTAATGGGTTCGCATGCATGCACATGGCTATCCAGAGACACATCGAGAAGTGCCACCTAGTTCTCAATCATCTGCTGTACTCCCCTGATCTGGCACCTGCGGACTTCTTACTGTTTCCCTGCCTGAAGAGTGTCATGAAAGGCACACATTTTGTGGGCGTGGTGGCAATCCAAGTGACAGCGGTTTTGAGATTGGTTTCTAAAGAGGTAGTTTCCAGAAGCTTTATGAATGTTGCCAAAAGTGTGTTGTGCAGAATGTTAATTATTATGAAGGCCAATAAAGGTAATTTGTTTATATCTTTTGTTTTGTTTGTTTTCTGATACCATTCACCAAACTTTTTAGACACACCTTGTATGCATACATCCAGATCTGACCAGCATCCCCATTGACTGTAGCTCCAATAGACATAGATTGTATATTATCCCCTCACAAAAAGACTGTTTATAGCTTATGAATTTAACCACTAGCCTACAGGGCACTTATACCCCCTTCCTGCCCAGGCCAATTTCCAGCTTTCAGCGCTGTCGCACTTTGAATGACAATTGTGCGGTCAAACAACACTGTACCCATATGAAATTTTTATAATTTTTTGTGACAGATAGAGCTTTATTTTGGTGGTATTTAATCACCTCTGGGTTTTTATTTTTTTTTAAACAAACCAAAAACCACTGAAAATTTTTTAAAAAAAATGTTTTTTTCTTAGTTTTTGTTATAAAATTTTGTAAATAAGTGATTTTTCTCCTTCACTGATGTGCGCTAATGAGGCTGCACTGATGGGCACTGATAGGCTGCACTGATGGACATTGATAGGTGGCACTGATGGGCACTGATGAGGAGGCACTGGTAGGTGGCACTGATGGGCATTGACAGGCATCACTGATGGACACTGAAAGGCAGCACTGATACATGGCACTGATATATGGCACTGACAGGCAGCACTGATAGGTGGCACTGACTGGCACTAATAGGCGGCACTGAATGGCACTGATAGGCGGCACTGACTGGCACTGTTAGGCGGCACTGACTGGCACTGTTAGGTGGCACTGACAGGCACTGATAGGCAGCACTGACTGGCACTGATAGGTGGCACTGTTTGGCAGCACTGATAGGTGGCACTGATTGGCATTGAGAGGTGGCATTGACTGGCACTGATGGATGACACTGAAAGGCAGCTCAGATGGGCACTGATATGTGGCATTGATGTGCACTGGTAGGCACTGATGTGTGGCACTGATGTGGCACTGGCACGAGGCACTGATGAGCACTGACATAAGGCACTGATGGACACTGACAGGTGGCACTGCTGGGGCTACACTGATAATCAAGGCACACTGATCATCAGTGCCCTGATGATCAGTGTACATGTCCCCTTCGCGGAAAGCCGATTACCGGCTCTCCTCTCCTCTCGAGCTGTCAGAGTGGCAGCTCGAGTGGAGAGAAATGCCGATAACCAGCATTTCCCTGTTTACATGTGATCAGCTGTGATTGGACACAGCTGATCACATGACCGAGCCGACATCTTTGGCTCTTTCCGTGATACACAGCGCTAGGCGCTCCCTGAGCCGCGCATGCGCAGTGAGAATGGGAGGACGTCATATGACGTCCTCCCAGAACAAGAGAACCACCTTGCGCCCATCATATTACTATATGGCGGGTGGGAGGTGGTTAATGGTGTTGATTTACTAAAGGCAAATAGACTGTACACTTTGCAAGGGAAGTTGTACTTTGCTATAGGCTAGGCTATAAACCTAGGAAGTTCAAGCAGAGTATACATTTTTAAGGCAGCCCATATATAAAATCAGTTTTCTTTTTTGTTCAATCGGTGGGTTGAACAAAAAAAAAACAAATTCGATTCCCCCATCCACATCACTCCTGCTGTGTTATTGTGCTCTGACAGTGTGGGGGGGCTTCCCTGCTATCAGAATACACTGATCAGTGCTGCTGGCTATGCAACTGCTGACAGGGCAGTTGATTGGTAGACTGACTTCTGTACAACCATCCTACTCAAATTTGGATTAAAATTCATCCAGTCCCTGCTGATCTGGCCAAATTTAAATCCATGTATCCCTCTTAAGTCCTCTTGCATTTTATTGTATTGTAACTGTACTGTCTCCCTTTATATTGTAAAGCGCTGCACAAACTATTACTGCTATATAAATCCTGTTTATTAATAGTAATAATAATAATAGTAATAATAATAATAATAATGTATGGCCAGCTTAAAGATTACCCTCAGTAAAAGTGGAATATCAATATGACCACTAGATTTTTATTACATTTTATGCAACATATTATTTTTCCTGTAAAAATCTGACTTTTACCGACTTTTTGCTGAGAAGCACTACTATTGGTCCTGTAAAAGAATCAAATTAATAGTCTGGCTCAAGATTTGTGAATAAACAACATACCAACCAAGGTAGCATATGTACTGACCTGTTAAATTGGCCTGAGGGGTTCAATTCAGACTCTGATTGAGAAAGGGGCTTTCTCTGCTGCTGGACCTATGAGGGCATCATGATGGCGTGTTTGTTTGCTAGAAGTGGCTTTACTGCTCATAAGTCATTAATTAGAAGGAGAGTGACTAAAGCACTGTTTAGTGTCACAGACCATAAGGGTTTGGCTACACCCCTAACTTTCAAAATTCACTTCCTCAAAAGTTTGATTGGATTTTTGATAGTATGGGTTAAACATGTTCTCTCATGTCATGCTTGGAACAATTAAATATTGTTTATTATATTGAATATTTTCTTGGGTTCACCAAAAGAAATGCCCTCCAGGAGACTTGTTGTTAACAAAGTCTGACAGCTGACCAATCAACCAATTGAAAGATGATCCAAAATAGCTATCATTTCAGACCATAGAGATCTAGAAAGATATATGACAGGAAAACTATTTTTTCCCTATTGCAAGCATAAACTGCTAGCAACAGGGATGATTTACTAAAAGCAAACAGGCTGTTCACTTTGCAAGGGAAGTTGCGCATTGCAAGGAAATTTTCCCCAGAGCTTGGTAAAATCCAGTTAAATTTTACTTTGCAAAAATACCCAACTACATGCAAGGAAAATAGAAAACATTTTTTTTGCTTTTATATGGTTAGATGATGGAAGTCAGCAAAGCTTTACCTCACTTATTAGGCTCTGGAAAAAAATTCCCTGCAAAGTCACTTTTCTTTTAGAAATTAAACTCCAATGACTTAAAGTGTAAAGACAAACTTTTTAGATTTGGATGAATTGCAAAAGTGTTAGATTAAATTTGGGAGATGTGCTTCCCTTTTTGTCCTAGTGACCATTGTCACCAAGATAGTATGTGAGGGGAAATCCGTGAAATGTTCAGGAGTTGTCAGCAGAGCAACAGGGAAGGGTAAATCATCCAATGGTTACAAATATTTTAACTAAAACCACGTGTATTCCCATAACTTTGATGAGATTTACTCTCATTATTGGTTGTGTGTCCAAGACAGGAAGAAGTGAGTGGAAATCTCCCCAGTGGTACGTAGGCAGCAAAAAATAACATGACATACGTTTTAACAATTCCCTACGCTGTCAAAAATTGAAACCTTTTGGCTATACAGGCACTTTAAAACTTTTTAAGATACAAATGGGCCATGAACTTTCCTCTGGAAAATCAAGAAAAGACTCCAAGAAAGATACTTTAGTTTGTACACAGATGAATAGTATTTGTGCTCTTCTTTTGCTAAATTTCACAAACCTCTAGGATTCTAATGTCCCATGTATTTATAAAACATGGATAACCAACTCTGACTGAAAAGCTTGTTTTATTAGTCTGGCTTAGAATGGGCTGATAGAAATCCCACTCTTGTCTACAGAAAATATCTTCCACCAGCACTACACTCTGAAACAGTACAGCAAATAAGGCATCTGCTAAACATAAACTGGATACATTAATCCGCACTGCAACCATTTTACTGTGTCATCCTGTTTTTCTTTCGAAATTTGAATCTGGCAAGAAGATGCATTCCTTGCACTGTTTTAAAGAGGCATTTTATGGTTGGGAATTTAAATTCTGACATTGCTGCACGGTGTATACAGTGTTTTTAAATGTATATCTGTGTTATAAAATGGGGTATAGAAAGTAGAGTAAAAACTATACAAAAAATAGGATAAAAAGATTTGTGATCCAAATATCAAAACAGGGTGTTACATAGCATTCTGTGCTCAAAAATTTAAAAAATAATTAATTTAAGAAAAAAAAAAAAAATATATATATATATATATATATATACACAATATGGGGCACAGTGAGCATAAACTTATAGCTTCATATAGCTTCTGGACCTGAACTCTCATCTCCATTTCTACTGCATGTTGCAGGTTAGTAATTCAAAAGGCCAGGGATGCCTGGAGTAGCTATTTTATTTTTTTGTGAAGCTAGATTATGCTCACTATGCTGTAAACCCCTTTGTGCTATATATTGATAATTTTGGTGTTTTTTTCAGGAAACACACCTGGTTGTATGCATAAATAACCTTTTTTACTGGTTGGTGCTGTCTACCCTCCTAAGATATATATATATATATATATATATATTGACTATATTGCCAGAAGCATTGGGACACCCCTCCAAATCATTGGATTCAGGTGTTCCGATCACCTGCATGGCCACAGGTGTATAAAATCAAGCACCTAGTTATGCTGACTGCTTCTTTAAACATTTGTAAAAAAAATGGATTGCTTTTAGGACCAACTGTGCAATAAGTTCATTCTTGAAATGTCCTTGTTACTAAATATTCCACGGTCAACCGTTAGTGGTATTATTATAAAGTGGAAGCAACTGAGAACAACAGTAACTGAGCCACAAAATTGTAGGCCACGAAAAATGAAGTTGCCTACTGTCTGCAGAGTCAATAGCTAAAGACCTCCATACTTCATGTGGCCTTCAGATTAGCACAACAACAGTGTGTAGAGAGCTTCATGGAATGGGTTTCCATGGCTGAGCATCTGCATCTAAGCCTTGCAACACCAACACTAAGTGCAATGCAAAGCGTCGGATGCAGTGGTGTAAAGGACGCCGCCACTGGACTCTAGAGCAGTGGAGACGTATTCTCTGGAGTGACAAATCTTACTTCTCTGTCTGGAAATCTGATGGATGTGTCTGGGTTTGGTGCTTTCCAGGAGAACGGTACTTGCCTGACTGCATTGTGCCAAGTGTAAAGTTTGGTGGAGGGGGGATTATGGTGTAGGGTTGTTTTTCAGGGGTTGGGTTTGGCCCCTTAGTTCCAGTGAAGGGAACAGTTAAGACGTCAGCATACCAAGACATTTTGGACAATTTCATGCTCCCAACTTTATGGGAACAGTTTGGGGATGGCCTGTTCTTGTTCCAACATGACTGTGCACCAGTGCAGAAAGCAGTGTCCATAAAGAAATGGATGAGCAAGCTTGAGGGTGGAGGAACTTGACTGACCTATTGTCAAACATTCCCATAGACACACTCCTAAACCTTGTGGACAGCCTTCCCAGAAGAGTTGAAGCTGTTATAACTGTGAAGGGTGGGCCAGCTCAATATTGAACCATACAGACTAAGATTGGGATGCCATTAAAGTTCATGTGCGTGTAATTTTCCTCCAAACACAAACTATCTATGTCCTTTTGGAGAGATTTCCCTTCACATCCCAAAGTAGGAAGTGAAAATAAATGTTTACAAAGGGAGGGAAAAAGAGGAATTCTCCTCTTAGACAGTAGGGTGTTTATTTACTAAAGCTGGAGAGCGCAAAATCAGGATCACTTCTGCATAAACCAATTAGCTTCTAACCTCAACTTGTTCAATTAAGCTTTGGCAATAAAACCTGGAAGCTGATTGGTTTCTATGAAGTGAGCCTGATTTTGCACTCTTCAGCTTCAGTAAATAGACCCCTAGGTGTCCCCATTGGTAGATTTTGAATTTGCAATCACTTTGTGTCTCAATGACAGTTGTTGAGTTGTCACCAGGACAAACAATTTGAAACTCCCTAGTGAAGACACAGACAACAATACAAGCTTGACAGGCATTCTAACACTTTCCTAATCTATCCAAAACTATAAAAACGACTATTTATACACTTTAAAATTGACAATTTTAGGTGCCTGTGAACAACACTAAGTTTACTATTTATAGAGGGTATGTCTTACATGGTGGTTATATCCTCTCTTAATCACCTATTCTCGGGGGATAACAAATTCAGTGCACTTAAGGAACCTCTCATTTAGTTGCCAATCTTTGCACTCTCTATTTAGATGTAGGTTCAAGTCCAGGTAGAAATATGGAATTTCTGTTGGTAGTCTGGGGCATTGTACTATGTATACATTT